ACCCTACTAAACCCTGAATCCCAAGCCCTAAACCCTACTGAACCCTACTAAACCCTGAACCTCAAGCCCTAAAGCCTGAACCCTGCTAAACCCTACTCAACCCTGAAGCCTAAACCCTACTACACCCTGAACCCCAAGCCATAAACCCTACTAAACCCTACTAAACCCTGAACCCCACAGCCCTAAAGCTTAATGTACGGGCCTCAATAAATAGAACAGTAAATAGAATAGGGTTTTGGGGCCCATTATAACAGAATTGTAATAAGGAACGCTGAGGAATAATATAGGTAATTTTTAAGGCTTCTATATTAACTTTAAACCTTAGGCTTTCAGGAGCCTCACAGAGCAAGCTGGGAAAGATCTCGGCGCGGACTTCTACCGAGCTGCGGACTTTAGGCGTTTCACGGTTTAGGGTTTACTATAGAAGCCTTAATAATTGGGAATAGGGTTTGGGGTACCATGTAGTTTAGGTATATAGGTATATTCAGGAACCCTACGAAATAGTATTCGTGATTTTCCGGCCCCTACATTACAATGACAAGCTCCTGCACTACTGCCGGTACTAGTCCTACTGGTGTTCAAAGCTCACAAAGCTCGCGCTATTGCAAGTATTACTAATAATATCATCCGTCGGACTGCTTCTCTAGACCCGAAGGGAAAGCTAGCCCCTGTCGCGAGGCCTGCTTGTGGCTTCAGGAGTCGTGGCCCGCAACCTAAACGGTAACCACCGAACCGATTCCCTAAAATCTGAACCCTACATCCTAGAACCTTGAGCTCCAATATGCAGGCCTGAATCATTCCTAAACCCTAAACCCCAAACCCTAAACCCTAAACCCTAATTCGCAAGTAGAATAGGGGCTTGGGGTTGTCTTATACTCTGAAGTTTATGAAGCAGCCCTAAGGCCTCTCTGCACATAAGCTCGGCTTAGTGATTGATTTAAAGTGTGCCGTGGCTAGGGTGAAGGGTTTCAGGGGTTTAGGGGTTTAGGGGTTTAGGGTTTAGGGTTTAGGGTTTAGGGTTTAGGGTTTAGGGTTTGGGGTTTGGGGTTTAGGGTTAGTGATTAGGGCGGCCAGGCCTCTGAGTCGCTGAAAAAAATCTAGGGCTGAAGGTTTGGGCTTAGCGTGGAGGGTTTAGGGTTCAGGGTCCCAATGATGCATTGCTCCTGAGGATTATGATGTAACCCTAGACCCTAAACCCTTAACCCTAAACCCTAAACCCTAAACCCTAAACCCTAAACCCTTAACCCAGGCCCTAGGGAATCGTATGATTAACCAATCGTGCTTTTACATGAGACCCTGCGCTGTGAATCTTGGCCTTTAGAAGATTTAGCTCAGACCCTTAAGGTCAAACCTCTTGCCTAAACCCTAAGCCCCAAAGCCTAAACTCAAGATTTCGGGTTTTACAACTGTTCGGGTCAAGTGCTTGGGATTTGCTGTTCACTAATCTCCACGTCAAGTCTTTAGGGCTTAAGAGATTTGCCATGTAGGGTGCGGTTCATCGGTTGCTATGGTAGGGCTTTCTGAAATCGATGTTAAATTACGGCTTTGGATGTCATTCGTAGTGCTTGAAGTTATCATCTTACTAGTCCTACATGCAATCCTGGATACCACCGGCAATGCTAAACTTCACGAGGGCCCGCGATCTAGTTTGTGATGACGAAAAGGCCGGAGCAGCACATAGAAGTCGCGCATGTTATGAGATCCTCCCATTCACAAATTAGCTGAAAAATGTATGCCTGGCCGGCACGTTAGTCAAAGAAACACTGCATGCAAAATGCCGAAGCGCCACACTTGCACAGACACATCGATTCTGGCGTGCATTCGTGTGGAAACTTCCGAAAACAAGGGCCATTTCCCGTGCGTGCTGTATTCATGTATATACACACACATGCACCATGTCCAAAATGTATACACGTGTATATGCTTTTACACACATATCAACATACATCTGCTTTTACATATACCATGAGTCGGCGGATCCTTCTTACCACAGAACCGCCCGCAACCAAAAAATTGCAAACCTCATGTTCGGACACTTCCACACTCCAGGTGGCAGCATCGGACGCTCAAGGGACTGCGGTCTGGGGATATCGGCTTGTTAAGGCACGGTTTAGCTTAGAGTTTGGGGTCTACGGATCCGGGATGGGGGTTTGGGACCAGGGGGTAGAGTTTCGGGTTTCGGGTCTGGGATTCGGATTCGTAGCCCGTAGGCTTTGCGCCTGACGGCGTTTTGCGTTATATCCACCAGCAGAGCTTCGCAGTCTTCAAGCATCCAGAAGAACGGCACCGAGTTTGCTCCTTGCAGTTCCGAGCTGCCCTCCAACAAACGAACGGTTTAGGGTTTATGGTTTAGGGTTTAGGGGGTTTAGGGTTTAGGGTTTTGCTGACTACAAAGAGAGACGCCGAACAGGACCTCCATCAGCCTAATGTACGGGCCTAAACAATGACCAATACCATTTGGGGGGCTCCTTATTATAATTATAGTAAAATGGCCACAAAACCCTATTCGAATTATTAAGGCCCTATATTGAGTCATTTATGAGCCTGTCCGGGCCGAAATGACAACTCGTATGTTATCGACAACCCCCAAGAGCTCAAACCCTAAGCCCCATTCACACCCTAGGCCCTGTTCCGAATCATGCCCGCCTGAAGTCCTACTAAGACTAAGCCCCAACTAAAACCTGTGGGGCCGAAGCCCGAAAAGCGAATCTTGCAACCCCACCCTAATCGTTACACCCCAATTACCAAAATCGAACCCTTGAAGCCGTGAGTTCCAATAACTCATCCCGGATTTGAACTGCTTGTGGGGCGGTGGTCTGAGCTCGGATTCTCGACTTCATAGGGACCCTACCTACACCCTCAACCCTAAACCCCTAAACCCTAAACCCTAAACACTAAACCCCAAACTCCAAACCCTACCAAACCCTAAACCCTAAAACCCCAAGCCCTAAACCCGAAACACCTAGACCCTAAACCCCAGCTGCAGGGCTCTTGGGCTGTGAGGTGTTGGGGGCTTCAGGGTTCTGGGGCTTTAGGCTTGGAGGTTTTTTGTACTCGACTCTTCACAGGATTGAAGTGTAGGGCTTCGGATTTAGGGTTTAGGGTTTAGGGTTTAGGGTTTAGGGTTTAGTTCCAGGATTGTTGTGGTATAGGGCTTTGAAGCTTTTGCTGCAGGGTTCGATCGGATGTATCCGGCTTAAAGCCGAGGGGTTCTGGGTTGAGGCGGGTAGTGGTCTACGGGTCTAGGCAAACCCGATGCCCTAAGGGGTTTGGAGCACTTCAAGGGTCATGGGACTTAGTAAGTATGGTTATACGTACCTTAACTGGGGTTATAAATAGTTATGAGTATAGTTACCCTAGTATAATAAACCTTAGTTACGACGTCCCATGATCCTTTAAGCAAGCTAGGGGGCTTTCAGCACTAAGGAGACAAGGCACTGGTTCGAGCGATACGGGCTCATATGACTAGTACTATGAGAGGTACAAAACAGGTTCTTACAGGTTCTTAGAATAAAGCGGCTCTGTGATGGTGTAGATGCACTCTAATTAGACAATAAGCTGAAAAGGGACACTGCTGCTAATTATTCCGACCTCTGCAGGATACGCAGCAGAGGGACAAGAAGCAGACCCATCTTTGAAATGCAATCTGGCAGGCACAGGCCCCGCCCATGTTGTCGAGCGGCTAAGCAGGATGCCGGGTTGATGCGCAAGTCCGGCAAGGGACACCTCGAAAGTTTGAAAGCTTGAAACACTGAGGTTTGCAGGGTTGCGGGTCTTAGATTTTCGGGCTTTCGCAACCCTAGACATTTCAAGCTTTCTTCAGCATTGCGGTTGCTTCTGATTTCGGGTCTGGGGTTGGTTTGGGGCTTAGAGCAAGACTGTAGCATTTGCCACAACAATGCCCAATCCCTAAGCATCGGCCCCCTAAAACTTGAACACTAACGTAAACCCAAACCCCAAGACCATAGACCCCAAGAAGTGAAGACGTTCCCTGATTAGGGCCCGAAAGTCTGGTCAATGGAAGCCCGCAACCCCGGGTTTAGGGTTTGGGGTTTCGAGTTTAGGGTTGAGGGAGTTTAGGATTTTGGCTTTAGGCACTAAGCCTGTCAAACCGTTGTGGAACCCTTACAGAACCTCGTACAACCTTTGCAGAAACCCTAACAGAAACCTTTAGACAACCCTTGCAATTCCCCCACTCATGAACCCTCCATGCTGCACCCTAATGCTCTAAAACCTAAACACTAGCACCCGAACCCTGGACCGCAAACCCCAGAACCCTTCTAGAACCCGTCTAGAACCCTTCTAGAACTCTTCTAGAACCCTTCTAGAACCCTTCTAGAACCCTTCTGCCCTGCCCTCAGCCCTGCCTTTCCACACCGGCGCAGGATGCCTCTTCCAATGGAACGAAGACATTCGTGCCAGAGATCCGGCCTCAGGCTCTAGGCCCTAAACCCTAAAGCCCAAAGCCCTAAACCCTAAGCCCTAAAAGCCCTAAGCCCTAAAAACCCTAAACCCTAAACCCTAAGCCCTAAGCCCTCAACCCTAAAAGGCCTAAGCCCTATAAGCCCTAAGCCCTAAATCCTAAAAGCCCTAAGCCCTAAACCCTAAGCCCTAAACCCCCAAAACCCTAAGCCCTAAACCCTATAAGCCCTGAGCCAAACAAAAACCGAAACCCAAAGATCCGGCCTCAGATTTTAGGGTTTTAGGACTTAGGGCAGGGCCTCAGGGCTTGGCGTTTGGGGCTTGGAGCCTTGGGGTTTGGGGTTTAGGGT